AGGAAATTAAAGCTTAGTGTGGTTTCCAGCCCATCATCCTTTGTCTTACGAGTGACGGACTGAGGCGCAAAGGCAACACGATTCCCATAAACCAGAAAACATGGTCAGTCTTCATGAAACCACACTTTCATCTTGTCAGATCACTGAGTCTGAGAACACAATATAAACACACATCCACACACGTCATGTTATCATTTTTGGTCAATGTGACTGACCTTGATGTTCTTCCTCCATTCAAGTTAAGGATGCTCTTTGGATCATCTCAAATCATCCTGGAGTATATGATCATGAAAGTCACGTTAATTTTGGAATTTAATGGTGCTAATATAATTTTAAAATGTTTGCATTAAGGCAAAACACTACAAGCAAAACCATTATTTTTTTCATGCACTGATCAATTATGAGATTTAAAGGGTTAGTTCACCCAAAAATGAAAATTAGGCTGTGTTTTACTCACCCCCGAGGCATCCTAGGTGTATATGACTATCTTCTTTCAACCGAATCCAGTAGGAGTTATATTAAAAATTGTCTTTGATCTTTCAAGCTGTTTCATGGCACTCAGCGGGTGTTGCATGCATCAGTCCAAAAGAAGTTAAATAAAAAGCGCCCATCTATAAAAAAAAGTGGGGGGGGGACAAAGGCCTTCTGGAGCGAATCAATGCGTTTTTGTAAGAAAAATATAAATAATTCAAAACTTAATAATCACTTTAATGTAGCTTGCGCCAACAGTTGTACAAAGAAGCATGCGCTGGTGAGTCTCGTGAAAACCTACGTTTGTTTACAGGAGCAAAGGAAGCAAAGTGTCCTTACTTTAGCAAAGGAAAACCAGTCTCCTCTTGGCTTATGTCGCAATTCTCCGACATTCTTCTTTACAAATCCTTGTTTTGTACTTCTAATTAGTGACCGTTGTTTTGTTTTGATCTCTCCGCTGCGCTTCCGTGTTCATCACTTCTGAGCGGCGCATGCGCAGCGCCGACCTCATATGTCATCCGCTCGGAGCTGCTTCTGTTTACAACAGTGAGCGCAAGCTAGATTAAACTTCCGCTGGTGCTGTATCACTGGCGGCTGTTACGGGCTGCTCCAGGAGCGCTGGGGTTGCAGTAATGGATTTTCCAGGCTGAAATGGAGGGGAGGAAATGCCAGTCAAGGCGTGGGAGTCGACGCTGTGAGGGTGGATTAGCGCATGGAAACCATAGCCGGGGTCAGTGTCACTCACTGCTGCCGGATTACAAAGCGCCACTTCACCCCAGCCATCAGCTACAGCACTCACCTTCACAGATGACATTAACATTCAAGAGCAGCTGTGATGCTCTGCAGCAGAGAGCACTTTCTTGGAGTTGTTCAAGCGGTGGCTTTCATTGTCTGAGCAGGAGCATGAGGCTCTCGGCTCTGAAGAGCACATGCGCGCGTGCGTGTGTAGGTGTTTGTGCTGGCGAAGCACTCATGTATTTGTCCCCGTCTGGTAGGGATGCACGTTTAGCCGGCTGTACAGTTGGCAGGGACTCAGATCCAGCAGGAAATTAAAGCTTAGTGTGGTTTCCAGCCCATCATCCTTTGTCTTACGAGTGACGGACTGAGGCGCAAAGGCAACACGATTCCCATAAACCAGAAAACATGGTCAGTCTTCATGAAACCACACTTTCATCTTGTCAGATCACTGAGTCTGAGAACACAATATAAACACACATCCACACACGTCATGTTATCATTTTTGGTCAATGTGACTGACCTTGATGTTCTTCCTCCATTCAAGTTAAGGATGCTCTTTGGATCATCTCAAATCATCCTGGAGTATATGATCATGAAAGTCACGTTAATTTTGGAATTTAATGGTGCTAATATAATTTTAAAATGTTTGCATTAAGGCAAAACACTACAAGCAAAACCATTATTTTTTTCATGCACTGATCAATTATGAGATTTAAAGGGTTAGTTCACCCAAAAATGAAAATTAGGCTGTGTTTTACTCACCCCCGAGGCATCCTAGGTGTATATGACTATCTTCTTTCAACCGAATCCAGTAGGAGTTATATTAAAAATTGTCTTTGATCTTTCAAGCTGTTTCATGGCACTCAGCGGGTGTTGCATGCATCAGTCCAAAAGAAGTTAAATAAAAAGCGCCCATCTATAAAAAAAAGTGGGGGGGGGACAAAGGCCTTCTGGAGCGAATCAATGCGTTTTTGTAAGAAAAATATAAATAATTCAAAACTTAATAATCACTTTAATGTAGCTTGCGCCAACAGTTGTACAAAGAAGCATGCGCTGGTGAGTCTCGTGAAAACCTACGTTTGTTTACAGGAGCAAAGGAAGCAAAGTGTCCTTACTTTAGCAAAGGAAAACCAGTCTCCTCTTGGCTTATGTCGAAATTCTCCGACATTCTTCTTTACAAATCCTTGTTTTGTACTTCTAATTAGTGACCGTTGTTTTGTTTTGATCTCTCCGCTGCGCTTCCGTGTTCATCACTTCTGAGCGGCGCATGCGCAGCGCCGACCTCATATGTCATCCGCTCGGAGCTGCTTCTGTTTACAACAGTGAGCGCAAGCTAGATTAAACTGATTATTACGTTTTAAATACGGATATTTTTCTTACAAAAACGCATTGATTCGCTACAGGAGGCCTTTGTTCACCCCCCGGAGCCGTGTGAGGCACTTTTTATTATGGATGGGCGCTTTTTATTTCACTTCTTTTGGACTGATGCATGCAACACCTGCTGAGTGCCATTAAACAGCTTGAAAGACCAAAGACTATTTTTAATATAACTCCGACTGGATTCGTCTGAAAGAAGAAAGTCATATACACCGAGGGGTCTCAGGTGTGAGTAAAACGCAGCCGAATTTTCATTTTTGGGTGAACCAACACTTTAAGTCTATTTTGCTTCCATAGCATGTCTTATTTCAGACTAGTGGAAAGAAAACATCCAAAATAAATAAAAACATTTTTGTTTTATTAAACTATTTTAATAAAAATGCATATCTTTAAAGGTGGTGAGTTTTTCTCTAGTTTTACTCCTATCTATATTCTGAAGAGTTTTACTGAGGGGTTTATTCATAGATAATTAGCCTGATATGTATAATATATATTTAACATTTTATTCCTAAAAAACATGGTGATTTTTTTCTCTCTGTAAAAACAGATTTCTGTTCTGGAAATTAGTATTATTTTAATGAGAATGCCTCATTTGTACAGAATGTGTATACAACATTCCACAAAACTTGTGATCCAAAACATTTGACTTAATGTGCTGTGATTAATCAGGGAAGGTACGGTGATATACTGTATATCAGTTCAAATGTTCAACACTCTCATCTGTGGAGTCTTGTCGTAAAAATAAGATAAAAATAGCCCAGCAGAAGCATTTAGAGCCCTCAGTCTGTATTTTGAACAATCGTCTCCTGAATGAGAAGCTCTGTTCTCCGCGAGAGGCCTGTCTCTTCATTTTGTGTGGAGAGGCCTTTAGGATGAGAGGATGGAGACACAAGGAGCTGACAGTTTGGAGGAACTACAACTCATCTGGATGCATAAAAGGCCATTGTGTCCAGCCTGGGCATCTGACTGCTCCCATCATGCCTCTGCACCGAGTCAAACGCTTCTTCTTTTCCTACGAGCGTTTAGCCCGAGTTACAGGTAGCTGAAGTGAATCTCATCGGTTCTGAGCTTCATTCACATGACTGAGACGCTGGCACTATTTCAGGCCTCTCTCTCATATGTTATGAATTAGCACAATGTCATATTGCTCAATCGCTTTTGCTCATATTTTAACCATCAGATGTTACGCAGCCGTGTCTAAGAGTAAGAACTGGACCTTTCATGGTTGGATGTATAGAAGGGAGATGATAGTTAGTGAGATTAACTTTTCAGCTGAGGTTGATCCATTCACAATCCACACTCACTGAAATAGTGCTCTGATGCAGAGCTGTAAATCTTAAAGGGCCAGTGCACACTCTCAGCTCAAGCACAGATGCATCGTCCATCAATACTAACAACACTGGACTAAATATTTAACTGGGGCTCTACAAAGTCACCATGAAATGGACCCTACAAAATGCACCCTATTTATTTTTTGTCTTATTGTGAATGAGTCATCGTTGGTCCAGACGTGTCTTCAGAATGTATGTCAAATTATTTTCCTTTTCAGATGACGTCACTGATCCTTCTCATTTGTCAAGCTCCCCATTTCTTTTTTCACAAAAGAATATGAAGCAGTGAGGCACAGGTGTTGAAACAGACCTTAGTCAGGGTACCGCCACGTTTAATTTCTGACAGGAATGAAACGAGGCTGCGAGGGACTGAAGTGCAATGCGTTCGGTGGATGTAGTAACATATTGATTGTTCGGCTGACGGAACGACTTTCAGTGGAAATAATGTGATCTAAAGACTGTATGTCTGTCAACAACGGACTGTCAGTGGTCTTTTCAAAACAAAGTGATTGTGTCTCTTCAGAAGACTTGCATTAAAGCGCTCGACTCATGTGCATTTCCCAAAAGTATCATAAGAAACCATTGATGCTTTTTGGGGAACAATGCTTATTTTTATTATTCGACATATGTTTGAGTTATTTCACAATAAACAAATTGAAATGGTAGCCTTTGGTTTGTGCAATTACATTTATTTAATTTAAACTTTAAAAGTTCATATTGATCATGTTGTATTCTGTAATGTTAATATAAATCATACGCTGTCAGAATAAAAAGGTTGCATTTTATGCATGCACCCTTATGAAAATGAACCATGGTGGTTTTACTAAAGTGACCTAATTCAGCTATAGTATTTGTAGATTTCCATGGTTAACCCTAACGGTAGACATATTTTCAAAAGTTCTGTTTAGAAGTATCATCTCGATATCGAAAACTAAATAAGTGGTATCGTCTATCCCTAAGCGCCATCGTTTCGGAGGGAAAATAAGAGGCGCTGCGCCTTTAAATGCTCCAGCGCAGACCCCGCCCACCCGCGTGACGCGAGGGTTTATTAGCGCCTGTCACACAGCCGTCAGAAGATGACGAGCAGAGCAGAGCAGACAGACAGACAGACCGCGAGCATGAGCCGCTCTCTTCGGATCTGACGCATCGCGCCCCGCAGCAGCAGCCTCTTATGGCCGCCGCGGGGAGCTGGTGAAGCCGCGGAGCCCGTGCCCACGGGGGACTCTTCTCAGCCCGGCTGTCTTTCCCCCGCTCCGCCGCACACCGCAGCCTCGCCCTCGCTCCCCATGAAACACACGCTCTGGAGCGGCGCGATGATGTCCAGCAAAAGCGCGGAGTGGCTGCAGGAGGAGCTGCAGGGCGGCGGGGGGTCGCTGCTGCTGCTGGACTGCCGCTCACACGAGCTCTACGAGTCCTCGCACATCGAGTCCGCCATCAACCTGGCCATCCCGGGACTCATGCTGCGGAGGCTGAAGAAGGGCAACCTGCCCATCCGCTCCATCATCCCCAACACCGAGGACAAGGAGCGCTTCGCGCGGCGCTGCAAGACGGACACGGTGCTGCTGTACGACGAGGCGGCGGCGGCCGCGGGAAGCGTGCTCGGGCTCCTCCTGCACAAGCTGCGGGACGACGGGTGCACCGCCTTCTATCTGGACGGTAAAGCCGCAATAACCGGCCGCGCCTCTGAGTCTCCCGCTCCTCGCAGCTGAATGCACGTTTCTCTGGGAGTTACGCGAATGCAGCGTGGTTTAGATCATGCAACACCAGCTCATTCTCCATGTGAGAAATATTTACATCTTTAAAACGGGCCGTTTCTGTCCGTGATTTGACTGCAGACCTTTGTTTGTTTGTTTTTTAAAGAGAAACAAACACGTTTTCAGTTAATTTCCTCAAGTGGCTCCGCCATGTTGTCTCTCAGAGCGCTTCATGAGTGATCCGCCAGACGACTGGATCGCGACGCACTTGAGCTGTTTTCGGCAAGTGACCGCTCTGCCTCGATGCTCGCGCGTATGTCGTGGCGCTGTAACTCTCGCCATTCACGAACCCGTGCTGTCCGTCACGCTCACTCCTCGGACGCGGGGCCTAGGGGCTGCTCCAGTGGAGCACTGGCTGCTAGTGTGCACTCCGCTCCTAGGCTCATGCCTAGATGAAGTTTAATGCGTTCAGATGTGCTCTGCCACGTGTCCTTCCCGACCTGTTCTCTGAGGGATGTTCAGATGTTTTGAGAAATGTCGTGTTTTTATTCCCAGTCATACTGGTTTGGAAGAGCATGAGGGTAAATTAATGTCCGAATGATCGTTTTTTTGGGTCTATAGCTGTTCTGTTTTAATTATGCCGTTTTAAGTTACCAGTTAACTGTGCAATGTTAGGTTGCACTAACTAATAGCAGCTGCAACATCTGTCATACATGGATATCTAGTTAGCTTTGGAATATATATATATATTTAAAGCTATTTGGATTCCTAGTGACTAAAAATGAGTACTAGTAGTAACGTTAAAACAGGAATTAGCTGTAAGGAATGCTATAACATCAGACTTTAGTTTACGTCAGACTGTGTGTTAGTAACTCTGTGTTATCCACCTTTTTCTTCAACACGGAAGTAAGCCTATGGGTGAGACTTCCGGTTCATCAGCCGCTGTAGGTAAATAACGAGGAGAATAACAACGTGCAGTAAACGGTAAAACTGTTTGCACTACAAACCAGAGTGTTCATAATTAAGATAATACATTAAAATAATATGATAAGACACACCAACTTTCAATATCACGCAGCAAAACGAACTGTTTTGCTCAGCTAAAAATAGCTGGACGGAGTGGACGCAGATGAGACCGGAAGCCAGACCCATAGAATTTACAAATGGCCGCGCCCATTTTTACGACAAGAAAAAGGTGGATAAAGCGGAGAGTTCCGGTGCTTGGCTCTGATTGGCTGAGCCGTGTTCGAAGCTGTTGTAAATGACGCTACAAAGTAACATACAGCTTTGTTTACGTCTGTGTGTTGCTCGGCAACCACTTTGTAGCAACCACAACTGTTTCTGAGGAGCTACATTGTTTGGTGGAGGAATACTGTGTTTATTAATATCATTACACTTTATTTGCTCCGTTTTATTTTGTGAAACCTTACTACGTATATGGAATAACCGTTTTATAAACGCAATAAGCCTCGTGAAGCTGTGAATTTATAACAGCTAAACTCGTACCTAACAAGCGGTTATTAATGCACTGTAAACCACGGCTCCACGGGGCTTCTTGCTTTATTAGAAAAGTACGATTTGTGTGTAGTTTTGCACTCTTGTCAGACTGTGATCCGTTGAAGGGCGGTTGACTAATGAGTGCGTGTGTTATCTGGCGTGTTCTAGGAGGATTTAACAAGTTTCAGACTGAATACCCAGAGCACTGCGAGACGAACCTGGACTGCTCCTGTCCGAGCAGCTCTCCTCCCGCGTCCGTGCTGGGTCTCGGCGGCCTGCGCATCAGTTCGGACTGCTCTGACGGCGAGTCGGACCGGGAGCCGGGCAGCGCCATCGAGTCCGAGGGCAGCCCGCTGCCCAGTAACCAACCAGCATTCCCAGTCCAGATCTTACCCTATCTTTACCTGGGCTGTGCCAAAGACTCCGCCAACCTGGACGTTCTGGGCAAGTACAACATCAAGTACATCCTGAACGTGACTCCCAACCTGCCCAACATGTTCGAGCACGACGGGGAGTTCAAGTACAAGCAGAT